CCCGCGGGCACCCGCAGGCCGGCCCGTGCTGGCGACAGCGGGAGACCGAACGGCCGCATCCGCGGCGCGGGGAGCCCCGACCGGCAAGGCAGGACCGCGGCCGCAGGCAGGTCCTCCTCCCAGAGCAGCCCGGAGCTGCTGTTGCAGTCATCTTCTGTGCCAGGCAGACACGTGCACACAGAAGTTTTCCCATCTGGAGCAGCTGGTGGTTAACACGGAGTTAACTTTAATACGCCTGGAGTGCGATAAAAGCTGGCGAGGCATCGAGCCGGGGAGCACGGAGCTGCTGTCACCTCCCCGGGTCCTGCTGTCCGTGGGGCATCACCAGGGCCAGCGAGCGCGGGCAGCAGGACTCCTTCGTCCGGCTCGACCACGGCCATCTCTGGGCACACACAAATCCAGCACACAGGAGCAGTTCCCTAAATTGGAGGTTTTCCTTTCTTTTCTTTTTTTTGAAGTAGGACTCCAGGGCATACAGTCACCGTCCTGCCCAAACACGCTGCGCCGTTTCTGTCCCGAGCAGCCGAGAAGCGCTGGGCAACGCAACAAAGCCTCGTACCGCGGCCTGCGCCGCACGGAAAGCGGTGGGTAACTCCTGAGCGCCGCTGCGGGCGGCGAAGCAGGGAGTGGGCTCGGGGGTGCAGCGACCACCACCCACATCAGACACGCAGAACGCTGTGCTGTGTTCCCTCGCGTTTGCTGTGCCCAGGGAAAGGCGGCCGTATTCTTGGGATATGACCGTCACGGTCAAAAACAGACTGCATGTCTCTGTGCAAAGGCTGGGCAAGTCGCACCTTGCCACCCTCCAAGACCTGGTGCCCCGAGAGGAAAGGGCAGCCTGAAGCTGCAGCAGACCAGGGTCTCCCGTGAGCAGAGACCACAGCCAGGAGGGTCAGCGCACCGAGCAGGAACGGGCCGAATGCAGAGCTGGGGGACAGCCTTCTTTTGGCGTAAGTGCTAGCTACGCTTTTCTGCACTGAGGTCCGAGTGAGAAAAACCTTGAAGCCCCAAGGGAGTAAGTGTGAGTGTGAGTGTACACGCACACGCTGGGGAAGATCAGCTGCTCTGCAGCCTGCAGGAGCAGAGCAGATCCTGGACCACTGCAGCACCCTGCACCACCGGCACCCGGGCCCTTCCCAGGGCCGTGCACGGAGCGAGCTTGGCCCTGCCTCGGGAGCAGCCGGCCACCGGCGCCTCCCAGCCAGATCCCAGGGCCAGCAGGGAAGGCTCGCTTCCGTCCTTCCTGCCTCTCACGCACCAGGCTCCCGGCACTCGCCCCGTTCAGCTTCACCTCTGCGGGGGGAGAAATGCAACGCGCCTGAAGACAAGTCCCAACAGCTGCTGCCGGAAAGGCCTTGTCCAACTTTCGTCCTCTGGCCCTGCGTGTCCAGGCACTTCCCAGCATCCTCTCAAACTGGAGCGCTCTGTGGACGTTAACGGCAGGGTGGCTGCGGCGTAGGGCACCGGGCTTCCTCTGCCCGCAGGACCTTGCCGCCCGGCTACGCCGAGACACGTTGCGACACTCGTGGGCGGCAGGAGGGACAGGGATCACTGCTCTGCGACCGCTTCCCTCCACGGGCAGGGCTGAACTGGAAAGGCTGGTAGCAGTCATCCACAGTCTTTCCAGTGTGCAGATGACTGGGGTTTTCCAAAGAATCGCGGACCCTTGTGCAAGGCATGCAGGCCCCTGGCAACACACTGCTGCTCTCAGGGATGCTTCCTGGGCCCACCGAGCGCGGGCTGCCAGCCAGGGCACCACCACGCGCAGTGCTGCTCGCACGTCACGAAGGCAGGGGAGAATTTTCCCTCCACCTTCACCCTGGCCACGGTGGGTCCAAGCATATGGGATTGATTGCATCTGATCGTGCTCCCTAATGACATCCTTCCTCAACAGGCAGAACAGGAGCCCGCAGCCCAGGAGAGCCTGGGCTTCAGCTGGCCTCTGTCTTCGAAGCAGAGGGAGCCGTAGCCAGGGGAGCGAGGAGCTGCTCC